ATGGAATTGAGACAATCAGCCTGTGGCATTGACTGGGAGTTATGGAAGCCCAGATTTCCTTGATGCTGTCAGATCTTCTTTGTTGTTGCTCTGGTGCTCCTCATGTTCCTCTTGAGAAGACCCCGTAGATTCTCAATGATGTTTATGTCCGACCAGTTGGCTGGCCAGTCAAGCACTGTGGCATCAAACCAGGTTCTGGTGCTTCTGGCAGCATGGGCAGGGACCAGATCCTGCTGGAAGATGAACTCTGCATCTCCATACAGATCCTCAGCAGAAGGAATCATGAAGTCCTCCAAAACATTCTGGTAGACTGTTGCTGTGACCTTGGATTGAAGAAAGCAGAGTTTACCAACACCTGCACCGGACACTGCACCCAGATCATGACGGACTGTGGATATTTTATACTGGACCTCAACCAGTATGGGTTCTGTTCCTCACCCTTCTTCCTCCAAACCCTTGGACCTTGATTTCTGAATGAAAGACACTTTACTTTCATCAGAAAAGAGGACCTTGGATCACTGGCCAACGGTCCAGCCCTTCTTCTCCTTGGCCCAGTTGAGACGCTTCCTTGTTTGCTCTGGTGATGGACCGACTAACAGATGAGGTCAGGCAGGGATCCCCGTGGACTATGATATTTGCAGATGATGTTGTGATCTGTGGTGAGAACAGGGAACAGGTGGAAGAGAACTTGGAGAGGTGGAGGTATGCACTTGAAAGAAGAGGAATGAAAGTCAGTCGTAGTAAGACAGAGTCCATGTGTGTGAATGAGAGGGAGGAGGTGGAACAGTGAGGCTAAAAGGAGCAGAGGTCACAAAGGTGCAGGACTTCAAGGACTTGGGGTCCACTGTCCAGGAACATGGGGAGTGTGGTGAAGAGGTGAAGAAGAGAGTCCAGGCAGGATGGAGTGATGGAGAAGATCAGAAATGAGATCATCAGAGGTACAGCACAGGTTGAACAACTGGGAGATAAAGTTAGAGAGGACACACTGAGATGGTTTGGACATGTCCAGAGGAGGGACAGTAGTTTGGACATATCCAGAGGAGGGACAGTGGTTTGGACATGTCCAGAGGAGGGACAGTGGTTTGGACACATCCAGAGGAGGAACAGTAGTTTGGGCATGTCCAGAGGAGGGACAGTAGTTTGGACATATCCAGAGAAGGGGCAGTGGTTTGGACATGTCCAGAGGAGGGACAGTGGTTTGGACATGTCCAGAGGAGGGACAGTGGGTATATTGGTAGAAGGATGTTAGAAATGCAGCTGCAGGAAAAAGACAAAGAGGAGACATATGGATGCAGTTAGAGAGGACATGGAGGTAGCTGGAGTGAGGACAGAGTGGGACAGAGGATACAGAGGACAGAGTGAGGACAGAGGATGCAGAGGACAAAATGAGATGGAGGAAGATGACGATGTGGAGATACCTGAAGAGAGACGAGCTGAAAGAAGACAAAATGTTAAATGGACAGTACTTGCTGCTCCTTTCTGTCTGATCAAGACACTCAAAGCTCTTTACAACATCACCTGTGTCCTCATTCATGCAACACTCTACTAGATCTCTACTAGATCTCTACTAGATCTCTACAAAGACTAATCAGCGCTTTAGATCACACTCATACACCGCTGGGACACACATCACCCCCACCTGAAGAGATGTGGTCCACCTGCTCCGTTGATCCGGTTCTGATGTCCCAAGAATCTCTCTCAATGAAAACCTCCACAATGAACTGCTTTAGAGCCACAAACAACAATCATCACCGACACACAGGTGAGGTGGGCGTGGCCTCCGTCAAGTGCTCTCTGGGAACACCTGGGCCCAAAGGTGCCAGCTGACTTCAGACTGCTGGTTCTGGTTCTGGCTGTTCTCGGCTGTGTTCACTTCATCTTATACCTGAATGTCCTATACGTCATCAGGAAACGGACACGTGACATTTGTTTATTACGGATTAAATTAATCTTGTTTTATTACCTATTATTCTTAATTAGCACCTGATGGAGGCCACGCCCACCTTACCTGTGATGAAGAGAAGGCGGGGCTTGTCACTGAATGTCACGTGGTCATACAAACAGAATGTTTTCCATCAGAACCGAGTTTTACTGTTTCTGCTTGTTCAGTGGACGTTTACACCCAACCGAACGTTCTCGTGTTCTTCTGTAGTTCTTTGACCCAAAGAGACTCGGACTGGATCAGAACCTTCGGACTGGATCAGAACCTTTGGTTCTGTCACTTCAGCTCAGAGGTTGAAACAGCTCCTGATCCGGACCCGATCTTATCTGCAGTTCTGTCATGAGAACCTGGTTTTAGTGTAAACTGTTTGGTTCTGCTGCAGGGCCCGGACCTTCAGAGACCAACAGGATGTGTTCTGATGTGAACAGAACCAAACGGTCTGGGTCTCCTCCGTGTTTGAGCAGAGGGGGTTTGGTTCTAACAAAGAGCCGACTGTTTCCAGTCGGGTCAGACGTGTGCGCTCGTCTCACAGGATGGAAGATTATTTACCTCCCTGTTTGTCCTCGCGTTCCCATGATGCTTTGCTGTCTTCCTGCCCGTCCAGGTGCTTCCGTGTAACAAACGACCTGAGCAGGCAGCTCTCTGCGTGTCTGCCCGGCGACCGTCTGAAGGAGCATCCTGATTGGACGAGGAGCGGAGCTGCAGCGGGACCAGAGGAGCTGATCCAGGATCAGACGGACTGTAAATACCAGAACACGCTGACTGGTTCTGACCGGACCAGATGGACGTCTATTATCTCAGCCCAGAAACACGTTAAAGGTGCTCTGTTTTTCTGACCAATCACACGTCACATGGTGATGACATCATCACAGCTGTGTTCTTAGCTTAACGTGTTTTTTATATTTTTAACTGTTTTTCGTCTCGTTTTGTGCCATAAATCCAAAGAGTCTGATTCAAATCCTGCAGCTCTGAATGAAGCCTCACATTTTAAAGTCACATGTAATGTTTGATCTGTTCCTTCAGAACTTTAATGCTCATTGAAACGATTCAAACGGTAAAAGCAGCAGGAAACCTCTTTACTCGCTAAGCTAACTCAGTCCTGCATGTGAACAAAAATGAAAATGTTTTTCAGAAATATCTTGATGCTAGCATGATGAAACTCAACTCTGAGGTTAAAAACAGCTGTTAGCAGTGTTAGCATGGATGCTAACACTGCTAACAGCTGTTTGTTTGAATCTTTTTTTAAAGAATAATTCAGTTTATTTCAGCTCTTCTGAGACAGAGCTCTGAGCTGAAACTAACGGTTCATTTATTAATAATATGTTATTAATAACGGTTAACGTTCACTTTTAATTTACTAAAACAGTTTTGTAAAAAGTCCAAAACAAACAACCAAAGAAACTGAGTAAACACGATACAGCTAAACATCTGACGTCAACTTTAAATATATTCATTAAAATAAACATTTGAATAATAAACGTCTGCATGAATCACAGAACGAAGCATGCTTCAGAAAACACCATGTAGATTTAAGAAACATCTTTAATTTCACTGGACTGTTCTACAGACATGCACAGATCATAAAAATCATCTGTTTTTATGAAAACATGCATCTTTGGAACAAAATAAATCATGAGTTTATTAAATGTAACCTTTATTTAAACAGGTTAGTCCCATTGAGCCTCGATGACTCATTTACAAGAGAGACCTGGCATGAAAATAGATGAATAAAGATTTTATGAAGTTTCTTCTCAGATGGGCGTTCAAGCACAACATATCAGGAAGATCAACTTGTTTTTATGAATCTGTTTATGTTTCGTCCAACTCTTTATTGATCCGTGCTGTCCTCACAGGCTGTCCAGGATCTACTGACTCCATGTGAGAGAAACCATAAAACATGAAGTTTTATCTCTCACAGCGTCTCTTATCAACTGTTTACTTCTTTAACGTCATTAAAAGATCTTTTTATTATTAGCAGGTTTTATTGTAAAGGTGCCTGCACTCAGAAGCTACAGCTGTTTTATTTTAATAAAGCGTTTTTCTTTTTAAAACGAGTCCAGATGTTTCTGTTTATTGATGCTGTAAAGAAGTTTTATTGTGTGAACGCTTATGAAACATTCACTCTATTGTCATTTTTCTTCCGTACGTTTTTCAGCACGATTCTTGTCCCTCAGTTTTCAAACTGTTTCAACAAATCGTGAATCAAAACGTTCGGCTCCTTCAGGACAATCCTGCTCTGACTTTTGGTGTTGGTGCAACTTTAGCTTGTTGAAATATTTAGCCTTTTCAGACATTTTTCTCTCATAGAAAATGAACTGAGCTCATTTTCCATCCTTCAAGTCTTTAGATCTGTTTACAACCTTTTACTGCTCCTGTCACATTTTGCTCTGCAAATTAAAAAAATAATAATTCAGCTACTTTCAGCTAATTTCTTGTTTTATCAGCTGTTTGTGCTTCTTTCAGCTTCTTTCTGTTAACTATATTTTTGTGCTTCTTCTAACTTCTTTCAGCTAATTTCAGCTTGTTATGCTCCTTTCAGCTTATTTCTTAAAGTTTCAGCTATTTTCTACTATTTCAGCTACTTCTACTTTTTAAGCTGTTCGGTGTATTGTTTTTTGCACTAAGTGTTTCGCGTATTCTTAGTTTAGCATATTTCTTAGAGTATATGTTGGATCTTATTACTGTTTTACTTTTGCAATTTATACTTTCTTTGGATGTAACTGGGACCCTGTGTACACAATTTCGTTCCACCTCATGTACCATACATATATGATGTGAATAACAATAAAGAATCTTGACCCTTTACTACTTTACCAATGTTTCCCCTACCATTATACAAGCGGGGTGCCCCACCCCGTCAACAGAACTGAGCACCCCGCCTACCAAACTGAACTTGCACCCCCACCTGCCCACCCCGCACTGACAGCGCACTAAGCTAGCGGCGAGAAATACAGGTTCTGTAGCTAAAAAGCTAAAGGGAGCACTCATGTTGCCTCTTCCCTCGTGCTAAACACCCCCTGCCCCCACTCAAAAGCTGTTAGTACAAGCTGCGCTCAGACAAGTGTCCATACCCCCATCAACAAAAATCATGCATGTGATGAGCACCCCGCCATGGCAAGTTAACTAGGGGAAATACTACTTTACTACTTTACTACACTACTTTACTGTACTTTAATACTTTACTACTTTACTATGCAAACCAGCCACTGGGACCACAACCCAATGTCTCTCGTGCCGGTCCCAAGTCCTGGTAAATGGTGAGGGTTGTGTCAGGAAGGGCATCCGATGTAAAACACTTTTGCATAAACCATAATGTGAGTTCATCAGAGTGAAACCATACCGGATCCATCGAGGCCCGGGTTAACAACGACCGCCACCGGTGCTGTCGACAAACAGGGTGCCGGTGGAATTGTGCTACTGTTAGTGGAAGACCACGAGGACGGAAACATGTCAGGAGACAGAGGGAGAAGAGGAAAGTGAAGAATGTAGGACTGAGGGTTGCAGCTCTAAATGTGGGGACAATGACAGGCAAAGGTAGAGAGCTGGCTGACATGATGCTGAGAAGGAAGGTAGATGTTTTATGTGTCCAAGAGACCAAGTGGAAGGGCAGCAAGGCTCGCAGCATTGGAGCAGGGTTCAAACTGTTTTACCATGGTGTGGATAGAAAGAGAAATGGAGTAGGGGTGGTCCTGAAGGAGGAGTTGGTAAAGAATGTAGTAGAGGTGAAAAGAGTGTCGGATGTTTTTTTTCTCTCAAGCTCTCAAAGGAGGTGCACGCATTCCTTCCCGCTCCCTGTTTCCCTCCTACTTTATTTTTTTGCTCTCTGTCTGTGTATCAGAGCAGCTCCTATTTTTACACATCTCCCGAAATGGAAACTACTGTTTTGGATCTGACCAACTGGATTTATGACGTATATGTCACGATCCTCAGTGTTGGAACCCAAATGCAGAGAGGCGAGCGAGGCAGGAGTTCAAAAACAAAAACAATTTATTTTTAATAACAAAACAAAAGGCTGTCGGTGCAGCAAAACTTACTTGGGCAGACAGGATCAGAAACAAGGCAGAGCAGATCATCAGGGGGGGACAAAAAACAGACAAGACAGAAGAGGACTGAGATGTCTGTGAACACAGAACAATCACCGGACAAGGAGTGAAGGAGAGAAAGGCTTTTTATATAACAGAGGGAGAGTGAGTAATGAGAGCACCTGGGCAAGTGGCTGATGAGGAACAGGTGTGAATGATAAAGACTGAGTGGAGAGGCAGACTGAGGAGTGAGTGGAAAATAACAGAATCAGATAAACAGAAAATCACACACAGAGCAGAACAACAAAAACATAAAGAGCAGACAGAGACAGAACCTGTCAAACAGAACTCCGAATGTAATTAAAGTGACACATTTACAAAGCACCTTGAAAAGGAAGGAAATGATTTAGTTTGTGGGATAACAGGACCAGATACACAAAAACAGAAAACACACAAAGAGCAGAGGCTTAGGCAGATGGGGGGGCAGCGGGGGCCGCTGACCGTGACAGTATATTCCAAATTCTTTCAACAAAGCGACAGGGTCCTGGAGAACCCTCATCTGCTCGGATGAGGCGTGCAGCTGGATATATCTCGGGGGGGGGGACTACCTCTGCTATCGATCGAGGACGCTGAAATTGCCAATAATTGGATTTATGATAACAGGTTTCCTGTGTTTGGAATAGTCTGGATCCTGCCTTATCAACATACAAAGAAGCCGGCTGCAGATAATTTGGACCTCGACAGGCTGCTGTCTGTGAAGGTCTGGTTCGTTCTGGAGGACTCAAAATCAGCTGATTTATAAGTGAAACCGTAAGTTGGAAGTGATTTGAGTCACAGTCCACCTGCGGCTTTGGGACTCGTCAGCATGAAAACCATCTTGAAGAGGTTCGTAAGCACGGACCAGTAGAATGCACCATAATCTGGACATTTGGACCTTGGGAGTACCAGTACAGACTCAAGGCTGACAAGAAAAATAGTTTGCCTGAATAAATCAACAATTGTGGTCATCTGAACCCAGCTGGTCTCGGAACAGGCCGACTTATCAATTTCTCCTGGGTAATGTGTAAACTAAGGAAAAGCTTTGTCTATCGCAACCCCCTCCCCCCTTCTGTGGAGTCTTATTAGAACTGTGCCGGAAGACCACCATCTTATCAGGACAATGGACTATCTAAGGTTTCATGGACTGCCTTGTTTGGAAATGCATATATGTAACGTGTTCATAAATGTGCTTTAGCTGGCAGAGTTTTTTGATGTCTTAAATCTTTCCCTACAAGGACATGGTGTGAAGAGATCTTTTTTGTAATGCCACTACCTTTCCTCATGGCTTTGTCCCTTTTTCTATCTAAAAATATTCTGAATAAGAATAAGAGGGCCACGCTTTATAGCAGCAGCTTTGTGCACTCCGTCCATCTGTCAGATGACTGTACGTGCATGTTCTCTTTGTACCTCAGTGCAATGATGATAAAGCTTATTCTGATTCTGATAGGGTGATGTGTCTGAAGGTAGAAGTAGGTCTGATGCTAAACATTGTCTGTAGTTATGCTCCACAATGTGATGTGGAAGAGAAAGATGCATTTTGGAAGGATCTGGATGAAGTGATGGAGAGAATTCCCAGGGAGGAGAGAGAGGTGATGGAGCAGACCTGAATGGACATGTTGGTGAAGGAAACAGAGGATGAGGAAGTGATGGGTAGGTTTGGTGTCAAGGAAAGAAACCAGGAAGGACAGATGGTGGTGGATTTCACCAAGAGAATGGAAATGGCTGTAGTCAACACCTGTTTCCAAAAGAGGGAGGAGCATAGAGTGACCTATCAGAGTGGAGGAAGGAGTACGCACTACTGCTTTACTATACTTTACTATTTTACTCCTTTGCATATTAACTCTGTTACTTTTCTACTTTATTACTTTACTTTACTGCTTTACTATGTTATTTTACTATACAAATTTACAGTACTACTTTACTGTAAC